AAGTGAAGAAACATAAAGGTGTACGTGTGCAAAATGGGAGGAAAAATGAAAGTGTGATGGGGGTATAAAATGATTGAGTGGATTTAAAAATGCATGAGCCTAGGGAATTCATGCATATTGGGTACGGGAAGACCTAAATCGTGACTCAATTTACCCTTTTATAGAGAGAATACAAGCGTGCTAAGGCTTAGAAAAAGCCACACTCGTCTATATCCCATATTTAAGGGGACTCTCAAGCAAATGAACCCCTATAAACTAGCATGAAATGCAAAACCTAAATTGAGAGGGAAGGGATTAGAGGGGCATGCGAAATGATAAAACTAAGAAAAATGCATGACATGTAATGAACATGCAAACATGTACTAACGAGGGGAAATTCCTAAGAGTCTAGCGTTGGACTAGCCCATTCTATGAATTCCGACTAGCGTTGGACTAGTGGAAACGTTCATTCATTCATCACATTCTTTCATGGCCATGGAAAGCGAGTAGACATGCCAAACAGTCGTAAACACATAGCACATAACACTTAGCATGCTCGACTAGATGCAAGGCCCTAATAAAGCAAATTAACACGTAACAACTAAGCATGCAAGACACATAAGACAATTAAAGCCCTAACTATTACATTTGCTAGCTAGGCACACGTCTTCGATAGGTCTTCATTGAATGCTCCTCCAAGCCCTATCTATTACAAGCCAAGAGGTGTACACATACCCCATAAAGAATAACTTAAGTAAAAAGAAAAAGTAAATGACATAAATAAAAGGAATCAAGGAAAGGCTAAGAAAGCAAAGTAGACATGCAATTCACTTAACACGTTGGATCACGTAGGAGATGCAAGAGGATAAAAGAAATTATACCGCCCCCTTGGAATGGTGTCCAAATGAAAGGAATCACTTATTAATCCTCCAAAATAAAAGAAAAGGTCAAGGGACCAATTTATTTGAGAAATAATTAAAAATTAAAAATATGCAAACACAAACTCACTTGGTCATAAAACCAAAATATGCAAACACAACTCACTTGGTCATAAAGACCTTAAAATCATGATTTAAGTGCAAATTAAACAAAGCATGGAGGTTAATTGAAGCAAACAAGCAATGAAATTGAAAAAATAAAGTTTCCAAGGACCAAATTGCAAATATTAACAAAGCACTCAAACCCAATTTAAACATTTTAGGAACTTCAAGGGGCCAAAAGTAAAGAAAGAACCAAGAAATGGTTCAAATTGCACTTACTCCATGACTCAATTGTAAGAGAATGGAATGTAATTGGGCCTTTGTAACATTACTAGAGACTAGAGGGAGCAAAATGCTAAATTCAGAAATTACTTTCATGCAAAAACATGCAGCCACGTAAAAGCTTAGACTTCTGCAACAAAAAAAACGAAACATGCTTCCTTTTGTTTTCCAAGTTTGCTGCAATTTCCAGCCGCAGCTTTCTATTCATGCGAACCAGATTTTTGATTCAAGTGCACAACCTTGATCAAATATTTTTTAGCCCAGCATCACGACTCTAAACCCAGCAACAAACTACCTAGTGACCACAATTCAAATGACCAGAAAAACTTGGGAAGACATCATACAAGATTCTGGAAAATGCATGCAAAAACAATTCGACAACCTGATCATTTATTTTTCCAGCAAGCATTCAATCGTAACTCAAATGTTTCTAGACCCAAACACCTAATCCCAACATCACAAATTAAGACTAACCCACTTCATAGTTATCACCATTCGAATAAACAGGAAACTTAGCAAGATCTAGTGCAAAAATCTGAAAAAAAACATACAACATGATTCGGCAAAACTGAAGTGGTTTTCCTTCTACCATTTGTGTTGAAATTTTTCATCCGTAAGCCTCTGCAACTTCACGTGATCTCAGCACACAAGATTCATATCACAGCTTTGAAACAACTCCAAACAAAAACATGGCTGAACACCTCTAAATAATACAATTGCTAGAAAAGTTTCATGCGAGCTTACAAAGAAAATGAGCTCCTACAACTAAAAGAGAAGTTTGCTATGTTTTTGTTTCCATGATTTGCTGCAACATTATATGACAAATAGCTAGCAACAAAGTCTGATCTCCAAGCTCTCATTCAGTGTTTCAAACTCATTCTTAAGATATCATGCAAGGGGAAGGAAAATCTGGGCAGAGAAGGGCCATAAGATTAGATTTCTGCTGGAAATTTTACAACTTATTTTCAAGATAGCAGCAGGTAACAAAATTCAAACAAACAGCAGTCTTTTCAAGCCAAAACAAACTTTATACATCTCATCATCTAAAACCATCCTTATGCACCCCTCCAGGATTTCCAAACCAGATTATGTACAAAGGAAATCAAAAGAGCATTCATGAACTTTTACAGATTTCTGGGTTTCATGTCAAACAGGGGGGACCAAGCTCCAAGCAAGCATCAAACTCTATTCTAGCAATCAAAACGCAGGAATTCGACATCCAAACATGAATAAGAACCCAGAATTCGCAAAAGCAAACTGGAAAATTCTTTTCTTCTTCACTCGGCTACACTGGAAAAATTCCAGCAGCTTTAGTCCATCTTTAAACCGAATTTCCTCGGCTGAAACACTAAATTATGTACCCAAACTAACATGCAAGACTAATAAATGAAGTCATTATCAATTCCAGTTCAAAACAGGGTCGGTCACCAACAAAATGTATCCAAAATTCCAGAATTTGTTCAACTAGTTATGGATGACATGCATGCAGCAGCTTTTTGGTTTCATTCAAATCTCTGGTTTACACACAGCTAATTAATCATCCAGTATTTAGTTAGCTAAACACACAACCAAGTGAGGATCAAATGCTTTCCGGTAGATTTCGTACTAAAATACCATACAATTTTCAAAACAGCTCCATCGGCTAAGCTGGAAAATTGGTTTAGCAATCCAGCAACTTCCAATAAAATTTTCCAGCCATGCAACCGAATTCCTAGCCATAAAGATCACATGCAACACCAAATAAAGAGCTATCTATCAGATTGGGTCCAAAATCAAGTTCAAATGTCATCAAAAATCACCATTTAACCAGAAATTCATCCAAACTTCTCTCGGTTGACATGCATGCAACCAGGTTTTATAATCCTTCAATTTCTTGCTTAAACAAGGTTGATTAACCTCATGCAAGGCTCAATCATCCAGCTATTAATTAGCTAACCATACAATTAAGCTCAGATCATCACAACTTAGTAAGTTAAAGCTGAAATTTCCAGCTCAAGCAATCGGACAGTTCCAATTCCTTCAAAATCAGATTTTCTTGTAACTTAGTTCATCATCCAATCGTATAACCCCACATGCATGCTTATAAACAGCTTCATCAACCCATAAACAACTCATCTAAGTCCAGAAATTACCTCAGCTTGAAGCTTAATACACACGACTAGCAGCTGCAACAAACCTCCACTCTCGGCTGTCCAGAAATTGCAGACCGCTAGCTCTCTCTCTCTCCCTTGCTCTGGCTTGCGGCTGGATTAAGGAAATTTGGTTCTCAGCCTTCACCAACTCACGGATGGAAGGAGGAATGAACCGCAGGTCTCTCTCTTCCCTCTCTAGTTTACGGACAGAAAGAAAGGAAACCAAAAGCTCGGCTCTCTCTCTCGGTCGTTAACTCCAAGGAAACCGCTCCCTCACAGCTCCCGGCAGCAAAAATGAAAAATGGAAGTCTGATATTGTGGTGAATTGGAAAATGGTCTCCAGTGGAATGTGTGGTTGGTGGAATGTATATGTTTTTGTATTGTGAGTGGGGTTGGGGGCTGAAATGAAGATGAATCGCGGATGGAGGAGGTTGAGTGTTTTAGAGGGGAAAGGAAATGTGATCCGGTAGAAATGGAATTGTGATTTTTAGATTTTTTTTTTTTTGAAATTAATTAAATAAAACTGATAATAACAACAAAAACAACAAAAAAAAATAATTTAATTAACATTGGATAGAAACTAAATAAACTAAAATCAACAAAGCACAATTTTCCATTTTTCATCAATTTCCTCTTTTTTTTTCTTTTTTTTTTCACAAATTTTACGTTAAAACTTAAAACTAAAACTAAAACTAAAACGCGAACAAAATTAATATGACAAATAATTAGCAAATAAAAGACAAATAAAAAAGGTAACAACTAAAATGCGGACAATCTAAAACAAAAATCATGAATTAGATGCAACATACAAATTATTTAAAAATTTGGTGTCTACAAAAACATTAATGAAGTTGCTGCAAACAGTCATGAGAATTTTGATTCCAAAAGTCCTAATTTGCAACATGAGAAGGACAACAAGGGAGTTAATGCAGGGGAAGAATCACAAATGGCAACTGATAATGATATGCAGGCTGATGAGACTAATATGCAGGCTGATAATAATGTGCAGGCTAATGATGATGTGCAGGCTGATGACAAGTTCGATGATCCAGATTATACGAGGCAAGTTGAGGAGGGTGTTTTATTTGATGAAGCCTTGAAGATTGGACAACAGTTTGGTGTGCATAAAGGAGCTCCTGAAGTTGGACCTTCTACCAGCAAAGACACAAAAAAGAAGAGAGCAGGTAGGAAAAGAGAAGCTGTTGACGAAGTAAATGTTTGTGACGAGCCTGACATGGTTAATGTGGAGGATATGCAGTCAGAATATGAAACAGATTGTTCTAGAGAGTTGAAGAGTGAGAGTGAATCCGAAGATGAAGATGGTCGTAAGAGGAATAAAAAGCCTAAATTTTCAGTTTTTAATGAGAAAATTGAAATGATAAGTCCAAGATTTAAGGTAGGCCAGAGGTTTTCATCAGTTGTTATTTTTAGGTTGGCTGTTAGAATCCAAGCTATTATGAAGGGAAGGGATGTCTAGTTCATAAAAAATGACACATATAGGCTACGGGTGAAATGCAGAGGCTGTGAATGGCAAATTTTTGGCTCAAAAATACAAGGTGAAAACACTTTCCAGATCAAGACACTTAGCAAGGAGTACACCTGTGGACGTGTCTTCCATAATAGAGACATGACATCAAAACTAGCCACCAGGTTGTTTGTAGATAAGGTGAGAAAAACACTATCCATGGTAGTCCAAGAGCTCATGACTAGGGTGACTGAAGAATTAAATGTAGATTTTAGTCTTATACAAGGCTATATGACAATGAAAAAAGTAAGAGACATGATTGAAGGCAGTCATGAAAAACAGTATGCATTGTTAGAGGACTTCTATGGTGAATTGAGGAGAGCAAATCCTGGATCGACAGTGTTCGTTGAGACTGATACGGATGAGGATGGGATTGTCAGATTCAAAAGGCTTTACATGTGCTTAGAGCCATTGAAAAGAGGGTTTCTAAAGGGCTAGAGGCATTGGATTGGGTTGGATGAGTGCTTCTTAAAGGATACACATGGTGGACAACTACTTACAGCCGTGGGCATGGATGGGGATAACAAAATGTTTCCACTAGCTTTGCCAGTTGTTAGAGTGGAAAATTATGACAATTGGAGCTGGTTTTTGGGATTGCTTGTATAAGATTTGGAAATTTCAGATTCTAGTAATTGGTGTGTCCTGACAAGCAAAATGTATGATAAATTGTATTAGCATTTATTTATACATCAACTTTTTATTTAATAATTCAGGTACAACTTTTTATTTGAGCCAAGTTGTATTCAAAAGTGTATAGGGACTAGTTTAGGCAGTTAAAGACAAAATGCCACAGGCTGAGCATAGGTGTTGTGTGCAACATTTATACACCAATTTCAAACAGATTCATAGAGGCCTGGCCTTAAAAGAAAGACTTTGGAAATGCGCAAAAGCTTCTTATGTTACCTACTGGAAAGTCGAAATGGAACAGTTGGGGCAAGAATCTACAGCTGCGCATTCTTGGCTTGATGAGAAAGATCCCAAAACTTGGTGTAGAGCCCATTTCAGATATGGATTGGATTGTGATATTTTGGTGAATAACATGTGTGAGTTCTTTAATGCAGTAATTAAAGGCGAGGTCATTACCAATCATATCCATGCTGCAGACCATTTATTTGTACCTGCTGAAGAGGATGGAGAGGAACAGGGAAGCAATGTCCAAGCACGAAGGTTAAGAAACATTTTATTTATTTACTAGTATTAAGGTCAGTTCATACCTTCTTTGAGAAATTTATGACCAATTTGTTGTTTTCATTTTGTATTCAGGTCTCCTTTGTCCAGCAATATTTGAGATACTGAAGTATCAGATAAGCTGTCCATTTGGGAACAGTACATTGTTGACATGGCTACCAAAACCTGTTCATGTAGAAAGTGGCAATTAAGGGGAATACCATGTAGCCATGCTGTAGCTGCCATCAACAGTAGACATGAAGCACCAGAGAAGCATGTTTCCAACACCTACTTGAAGATCACGTATCTACAAATTTATGAACCTGTACTTAATCCAATCAATGATTCTAATTTGTGGAAGCACATAGACCTTCCAGTAATGAAGCCTCCGACTTGCAGAAGACCTACTGGAAAGCCAAAGAAGATGGGAAAAAAGGCTTCAGAAGAAGAAAGATGGGACAGCTGTGTCAATCCAACTAAACCTCGCATGGTTAGCAAGGTTGGCACCATGATGAACTGCAGCCGCTGCAAAAAATATGGACATAACAAAAAAGGATGTCCAGATAAAAATAAGCAAACCATTGAGGGGACAACTAGAAGTTTAGCAAAGGAGAATAGTGATATTGGAGATACAGCCAAGTACTAAAGAGGCTTGTCCAAGTGATGTGACCATTGACATACTTGGAGTAAGTACGCGACAGAGTCACATAGGTCCATCTCAAAATTTGGATGCCAATCAGCCAAAACATGGGGCACAAGAACAAGTGACAAAGAAAGGAAGAAAATGCTCATTTTGTCATAAGCATGATCACTCAAAGAATAATTGTAAGTTGAGGCAATGGACCTTTAGCAACTCACTGGACATGACTGGAGACTTGGGATTCAAAACTGTAAAAATACGGTCTGATGATCTGGAAAACCCATATAAGCATGCTCAAAATAGTTATGAGCATATGGAAAAGAGTCCTACAACAACTCATGTAAGTGGTCTCCATACATCAGGTCTTTATTTATGGGTGTCATGTCTTATTGATACATGTTATGTGCTTGTTTGTAGTTAAGCTCCAAAGTTGATGGTCACAAACTTTATTCCCACAGCCACGGAGTAACGATGAGAGCACCACACTCATACGTGGACTTGGGGACAGCCTCTTATTCCAGCAGTGGACTTAAGCCAGCACAATTCACATGGCAGGGCAATTTGTGTGTTCACCTATCTACATTACAGACAACTGTGGGACATGCGAAGAAGTCACCTAGAATTGAAAATGTGCAGCTCCATGGGGATAGAAACCAATCTGTTAAGTTGGGAAAATTGCAGCAACAGGCCAAATAGCCTTCAAGCATGAACTGACTGATGCTGGACAAACCAACTCAAGAATTGTACAGGCATATAGCCTTTTTGTTTTGCAGATACAATCAAATTGGGCAGTAAAAGCCTCTGTTTTGCTAGTCCAGATGTGGCGAACTTTTGTTCAACTCATATAGTCCATTGGACCTAAGAATTTTTTTGTTAATATGGAATTTTTGTTAGCCTCTATTTTTGGTAGCCTCTGTTGTGGAATTCATATAGCCTTTGTCTTGCTAGTCCACATAGGTCAAATGCAGAGGCTATTAATGTGAAATTTTTATCATTCCTGGTATTGCTATTATGTATTGAATGATTTGTAGAATGATCAAAGGCTTTTGCTGAAAATTTTATGTTCTGGTACGACTATTGATTGCTGTTGTTAATGTGACATAAACTACTTACAATAAACTTCGCAAATTGGGACACTAAAGTCCGTAAACAACAAATTCTGATTACATAGCAGGTCAAACGTTCACAATTATGGGACATAGCAGGTCCACTATATCCCTAAATTTGATACAGTACATTTAAAACCAGCAAAAGCAATGACATAGTCATTGCTGGTAATTACATAGTCAGCAAAAGCAAGAATTTCCTTCCTGCACCACTCAAAAGGTCCACTACTTAGCAATGACAGACAAAGGTGGTCCCATATTTGAGCAAACAAAACAGGCAGTCCGGCATTAGCGATTGCTTCTTCTACAACTCATTTTGGACCTTCTTCCCAAGATTTGAACAAAAACAACCACATGACAATGGCAACCCAGTGGATAATCAAGTACATCCTTAGCTTCCTCACTTTCGATTGTTGGCACCTTGAATTTTCTTTCAACTTGTCCAACTTAGCTTCCATCTTGTTCATCAACCTTAGCAGTCCAGGTATTATTTCTTTTGACCTTTGACACATCTCAGGATCAACCCAATCCCAGTATATGCAGCCTCCTTGTTCCTAGTTTGACAAAAGCATTATGTTTGCAGTCAAGATTTGGTGGCTACAATTCGTACAAACCAAAAATAAAAAACAAGTATAAACACAAAACCCTAATTTCCCTTACTTTGTACTTGGCACATCAAAAAAACCTTCTTCCTGGGTTCATGGCAGTCCATGATGTCATCATCAATGTTTGCTTTCCACAATCACAAAATTGCCTCACCATTTCTCTTTGTTTGTTGAACCATGCGTTGGGTTCTCCTTTTCTTCTTCCTGTCTTGTGGATAGCAGAATGACAACTTGGGTCTCTCAGCATACTGATCTGAAGTGCCCTTTTATGATTTGGATCTGGTTTACATTATCCATCTGAAGTGGGTTGCATGGAGGGAAACTTTCCCTTCATATTTCACCACTTTTTTTTAATCAATATATATGATTTTTTGTGAATTTTCATTGTTGCCCTCGGTCAAAGGCTAGTGTTTGCCAAGCTCTTCGACCAACAGCATTCAGGATTCTATCAACAATTTTCCTTAACTGGGAGCAATTCATAAATTTAGGGACTTAAGTGTCCCATTTTGAAGTTTAAGGGTTGAAGTGGGTTATCGTCCAAAGTTTGAGGGGACAAAGTGGAATTAACCCGAATAATTATAATGTTAAAGGAAGTACATTAGAGGTTTAGTGCACAAGTGAAACAAATCCGAGAGAAAATGGATACGAAACGCACGCGCGAGTACTATTGTGAGTTGATTTTTGTTAGAATTTTGCCCAAAATCCTTAAGCTTCTCACGGAAGCTTCACATTACATCAAAACCCTTCTCCTCACTCCATTAGTGCCGGCCAAACAGCAAGAAAAAGAAAGGAAGAAGCTCACTCCATTTTTACTTCAAATCTTCCTCCATTTCATCTCAAACTTTGCATCCAACTCATAAATTACGTGGAGATTCACTTAAGCTAGAAGAAAGGCATCATCCTTGCGGTTTCTTAGAGCTTTAGTGGTGCAAAAATTTCTGGTTTCTCTCAAGGTTAGGAGGAAATCATCCAACACTATCCAATCTTTTATTCTTGGCTTTGAAGCTTGTAGCTTCATTATTGTTATTGTTACTTAGATTGGATTGGTTAAAGTTGGCTCTATGAACTCCCACCTTGGTTGTAAGGACTGATATGATGACAATATATGTGTTAGTGTGTTTGTGGTGAGTGTTAGTATGTAGATGAGTGTTAAGATTTGAAAAGGAAGAGAGGAATCGAAGAAAAATTTTCGCAGGAATGCTAGATAAAGCTGCCCTGTTTTTGCCGTACTTATATTTCAAAATTTTGGGGCTCAAATGATTGTGAAACTGATATATATATATATATATATATATATATATATGTTGTATATGGTGTGTAGAAAGATTCTACCAAAAATCATTTGAACTGGTTGAGCAAAACATGAGATTTCCAAAATTTCAGAAAACTGGAAAACATGTTCTGGGTTGATAAATAGTGTCTCTTTAATTGAACATATCTCTTTGTACAAAAGTTGAAATCAAGTGTCATTTGTGGCATTTGAAACTAGACATTTGTAGCTTTCCAACGGTATAAAATTCACCATCTAGTTCGAATTGAGTGATCCGTAGTGGTTCACCAAATTTTTCTGTTCTGTTCTGCTATTCTGTTCGAATAGCAGTGGGAAGCTGCGACTTGTCGCTTGAATTCGAGCTGCCTATGAACTGATTTTCAAAACAACTTCTCATGATGAAATGTAGCCTTTTGAATCTAATTTTCAACGCCATTAACCATTCTCAATTCCAAGTTTTATTGAGTGAGATATGGTACAATTTGTAAACTGCAGTAGAGCTGGAAAACCTTACTTTTTGCTGGCCAACTGATTTGGTTGTTTGTTAGATGCTTTGCTTTGAAAATTTTGATGTCAACCAACTATCAATTGTTTTGAAATGTTTCTTGGACTTTGGTTTCACAAATTAACCAAAATTGGACTGATTTCATGGTGCAAAGTGTTTGAAAAGGAAAAGAAAGCAAGAAGACAGATTTGTCTTGGAAATTTCTTGAATTTTGGTAGTTTTGTTAACAGCCTTCCCGTACGAATTTTCATGTGAACTTTTATAGAGGAGTAGTAATCACATGAAAGATTGTGTGTACCAAATTTTGTGTTATTCTAAGACCATTTCGACACCCAACTGAAGTACCAAAATTTGCCTTTCAAATCTGGAAATTCTTGATCAGTGAGTAATTTTCAGCCAATTTTGAGCTACTATCTTTCAATGCCCAAAACTCTGAATCTAGTTTCGTTTATTGTGTTTAAAACCTTGATTGGAACTCTAATAATGTTGCGAATTTTAGAGGCTAGTTCACTTTCTGTGAATTTTGTCGAATTTTCAAACTTTGCCAAAAAACATGACCGAAACTGTCTTGTATGCTCAAGTCAGCCACTTTGAGCTGAAATTTGATTGCCTTTTGTTTAGAGTCTTTGAAAAGTGTCTTAAATTTTAGTACTTTGAACCAAGATTCCAACGGTATAAATTTTTCCAATTTTGGACCTACTGAGCGCAAGTTCTGATTTTTCTAAATTTGACGTGCAAAATTGAAATCTTTCCGACTCGATGGGAAATGAGTTTTGGAAACTCTTCCCTATCTTTTGATATTGGATGACCGTTTTAAACTTGATTTCATGAAGGAAATCATTTTTTCCTTGTGTTATTAAACTCCACTTTTGAACCTCAATTTACGAGTAATTAAGGCTCTCTTCCATGATATTTTCTTAGTAGTGTGCAAGTGTACAATCTTCCTTGTTAACAAGGGGTTTATTAGTGATAGTGTGTGATAGTAAATCATTATTTGCTCAGGTGCTCAAGGGGGCCTTCAAGAGGATCTCGAAGCGGATGCCTAAAAGTTGTTTGAGCACTTCCTCCCTACTTTGATTGGTGAGTGTCAAGTGCATGATTTGTTGCAATTATGTGAATTGCTTCTTATGGACTGAATGGTTTATGACTATTGAGTCGAGTGTGTACTTTATCACACCCATTCTCTTTTAACTAATTGAACAACTGAACTGAATTGCTTGTAACTGAATTGTAACTGAACTGCTTGCATGTCGTTGGAGTGAATCTTCTCGACTTATAATTGAACTGCTTGCATGTCGTTGGAGTGAATCTCCTCGACCTAACTGAACTGAACTGAATTGAACTGAACTGAACTGAGGGACACCCAAATCTCAATTGGCCAACCTTGCGACTCGAGCCAGCAAGGGCTTGGTCGAGGAGCTTGGTGAACCATGAGATAATTGTAAGCTTTGTGAGACCTCGAAAATTCACTTGTCTTTATAACCCTTATGTGAACTCGCTTGCCTTTGATTCTTGGTTGC